TTCTGGAACTAGAGTTGTAGATGGTTGCGACCCTCCATGTGGCTGCTAGAAGTAAAACTGGGTCCTCTGTAAGAGCAACGAGTGTTCTTAACTGTTGAGCAAGATCTCATAAGATATAACAGAATAAAGAGGAATGATGAAGCCCCTTTATTGAAGAATCTCATCACTGAAGTGTAAGCATCCATTGGGTGATTCTTTTCTCCATTTGTTGATTTGTTGTTGTTCTTGTTTTTGCCGTTGTTATTATTATAATCAATTAGTGCTCCTGAGATTAGAATGGAACAGTGGGAGAATTCTAATAAGCTGGGAGAATCCCTTCCCCAAAATTAATCAAATTGGTAAGTTAATTGGTAATCAAAGTGGTAAGTTAATTGACTTGTGTGGATTCATGCTGGGGCTTGCTAGGCATAGAGGCTACTTTGGGAAACCACCTCAGAAGTGTTTGTTTCCTAGGGGATGGTGTTTTTCCTCAGTGCCCCTTCCCCTCCCTGTGACAGGGTTTCTCTGTGTATCAGCATTGGCTGTCCTAGAACTCACGATGTAGACCAAGCTGTCCTCAGATCTGCCTCTACCTCCTGAGTGTTGGGACTAAAGGTGTACCACCATCACCCCACTCTGGTGCATTTTTAACTCCACGTTTCTTTAAGGGAGGGTATTATCTAACACATGTGCCAAGCTAATTCAAGGGTCTCTACTTAAGCCTAGTCTAATGGTCAGTTTTTCTCTGGGTTTTTGTTCTGTGTCTGGTAGAGTACCTTGAATTCCTATCTCTTGGCAGTGCAAGCTTGTTTGTCTCCTTTACTCTTTCAAAGAGATGTTTTATATCCTTTTTTTGTGTGTGTGTATGTGTGGTTGTTATGGTTTGTTTGTTTGTTTTGGAGTGGTTCATCTGTGCTGGTTAGTTTAGTTTTAACTATCAACACAACAACCATCTGAGAAGAAAGTCTTACTCTCTTATCAAAATTAAGTTGGCCTGTGGGTAGTTGTTATCTTGATTGTTAATTTATGTGGGTAAAGCTAGTCCACTGTGAGCTGCACCATCCCCTAGTCAGGTGTCCTGCGTGATGTATGAGGGAAAGCTGCCCAAGAGTGAGCTAGTAGGCGTGCATTCTCTCTGCATTATTACGTGGCTATAATATGACATGCTTCCTCAAGCTTCTGTCGCTGTGATCTCCCCACAGTGATGTGTATATAAGCTGGGAGTGTGGGCAAAAACCCTTTCTCTCCTAAGTTGCTTTTTGTCACCAACAGAAACAGAGCTAGAATAGTATCTACCCCTGCTTGCCAGCCTCAAGCATTTTCAGAGGTTTCCTTGATTTGAAGGCCATCCAAATACCAAACTCCCACGTTGGCAAAAGAGAGTACAGAAGATGTTCCATGTGCAGCAGTGGCCAGTGCCAACCCCTGTGTTACATTATCTCATCCCACCCTCACATAGCCAGCCCATTTGGGATAAGTGACTTTGTTCATTCCCCCCTCCCACCACCACCACCTTTTAAATGTAGGAAGATCTAAGGTATAGAGATCAAAGTGCTTCCCAGAAGCAAACAGCCAGCGAGTAGTAAAGCCAGCTTAGTGGTCATTCCTTGAAATCCATGTTTAATCAGGAGGCAAAACTTATCTCTTTGGTAGAGGAAGTAGACCTTCGGTGGTAGTTCTTTACTGCTGTAGAAGCCATACATAACTGGGTTGATCGGATTATCAAACTATGGAAACAAATGTATCAGTTTCCTATTGCTTCTGTAACAAATTATGAACTTAGGTGCTTACCATGGATTTATCATCTTGTTATTATTTGGTTAGTAGTTTAACATGGGTCTCACTGGCCCTTTAAAAAGAAATAAAAGCTGTTGGCAAGGCCATATTACTCCACTTAAGGTGGAGTCCATTTCCTGACCCTTGGTCCCCTATACTCTTTGGCTTATGGCCCATATCCATCCAGTGCCAGCAATGATGGATGAAGTTCTTATCTCTGTCATCTATACATCTGCTGCCCTCTTGCACATGTTAGGACTCCTAACGATAACATTGTTCCCACATAATTAATCCAGAATAATCTTCCTGTTTTGAAGTCAGTCAACTTCATACTAGCCATCTGCTACCTTTGTTGCCCTTTGCCATGTAAGATAAAATAATCGTAGCCTCCAGAGGTTAAGGGGACCTCTGGTGGGATATATATTACCCAAATGAAACATTGAGAATTGATTGCATCTGAGTGTATTGAGGGGTAGCCACTGAAGTTTTTGATGCTGTTTCCTTCTTTAAGCACGGGTGCAAGTATTTTAGCCTATTAGCTTCTAAACAACAGAAATTTCTCTGTTGGAAGGCTGAAAAGATCAGGAGAGGTGTAAATAGATCTGGCATCTGCGAAGAACTTACTTTCTTGGCGTCTTCTTGCCATGTCCTTGTGTAGTTTAAAAGGGGGGGGGGAACTACTTAATTCCCTGGCTCCTCTTTTGTAAGGACCCTTGTCATGTGGTATGGGTGCTCCTCGTGACCTGGTCTTAGCCTCCTGATTGTAAGACGTTAAGGGGTAGGATTTCAACATAGAAATCTAAAAAAAGGTTGTACGAGCCTTCTATGTAGCTGTGAGGATTTTGCTTTAGGTGTTAAAGAGTTTGTACAAGACATTCAGTTTTTTTTTTTTTTTTAAATACAATACAGCACCTGCCCATATCACTCAGCCAATGACAGTTCAACTATAGTTGTGAATCTAGGCAAGCTGGTTTGGTTGGGAATGGAAAGTGACCTTTCAGCTTTGTTAGCAGCCTCTTTTCTGAGGTTTGTGTAGAAGACTTCTCCAGGCTTTGACTGAGATCTAGAATATCCAGTTTGTCTGACAGGTTCTCAGAGGAAATCAAGTGTTTCACAGATGACATGCATTTTTGCTTTAGGATTTCCTTTGGGTGTACATTTCTCAGCTGTGGTTGTAAACCCCTTACTCTGTCAGAATTCAGTTAGTGTAAACAACTGTATTTATAGTGATTTAGGTTTTGATCATTAACCACTTCACTGAAAATGGTGACACTTAGGTTAGTGGTGAAGATGCCCCAGGCAGGGTGAGTAAAGCATTGATTTTTTTTAATACTACTTTTCCTCTCTTCTGTGGGGTCCCCTGCAGGGTCATATTCTCTGACCTCAGCCTGCCCTGACTCTTGGATGTCTCTACTATGAGTTACCAGGGCATCTTCATTGACTTATTTCTCCTAATGCCTCTATAAGTGAAGAGATGAGCTCTCTGGGTTTGTTGTTGTTGTGAGTATGTTTGTTGTGTTTTGGTTTGGTTTTATCTTGTTTTTTGAGACAGAATCTCACTATGTAGCCCTGGCTTTCCTAGAACTCACAGACATCTACCTGCCTTTGCCTCCTGCGTGCAGGAATCAAGGCATGTGGCACCAGACCTGGTGAATGCTATATTTCATTAAAAATTGGGAGAATCAAAAGTATACAGAACTAGCTATAACTATGTAACTTATAATTAGATACCTTCACATTTAGTAGGAAAAATGTAAAATGTTCCATTTGGAATTGGTAATTAAGACTAGTCAGCCAGTATTGAGTGTCATGGCATGATGTGGCACATGTTCTTCCGTGTGTTTGCCACAATGCAGAAATGGATGTGGGGAGACAGAGAGGCAGTGGACATGTGGAAGAGATAGGTGTTCCTGCATGGACATCTGTTGCCATAGCTACTGGAGGGCATCTCTGTTTTATAATCCCAGCTGCAAGTGAGGACGTTGTTGTGACTTGACTCATTAGAGACCAAAACCAGGCAGATCTGGAGGTGATAACATGGCATCGTTTTGTTGGTCAGTCTTTGAGGGGAAACCCTGTTGTAGGCTAGTGCTGTCCCTGGACCCATTCTTCAGTCTCAGCTGGGTTTGCTGGAGGCCTAACTCCGACTTCTCCTTCAGGCACATGAGAAAGACTCGGGAACTGTAGACATGAGGTATGCACTCCTCCACACCAGTAGTGATTCTTCAACTCCAAGAGAGGTGACTTTGACACCAGCTAGGGTCACCGACGGTAGCGTAGCCCAAGAAATGATTAATTTGGGGCAGTAGATATACAGCTGTGTCAATGGAACCAGCTAAGAAGTGTTTCCATTCTACCCCTCCCCCCATCTTACCTTCTGTAGGAAATGGAGGTGGGGTTGAAGGGGTGATTTCCCTGAGTTACTCAGCCGTTAAGTTTAGAAAAATCGATATGCATAAAAAGTGGTTTGTATTTGTTTTTCTGAAAACTTCCCAGAAGTTGAGTGAGCTGGCAGTAAATTCGTTTTCACCTGTCTTATGAATTCAAAAAAAGGTTTTAACAGAACGATTGAAAACACTTAAGAGCTAGTTCAAGTGGGTAGAGAAGCAAGCTGAGCAAGGAGACTGATTCCCTGTGGAGCAAGACAGTCCAGATGCTTTCTTCAGTGATCAATGACTGGCCTGGAAAAAAGTGTGACTAGGGTTGAAGCAGGAATTATTTGTACTTTAGAGATATGACAATCACATGTGGGTAAGGATGTTGTATGGACTGAAGCAAAGCCATTGTTTAAGAAGTTAGGGTTTTTTTTTTTTTTTTTTTTTTTTTTTTGTTTTTTTTTTAAATCTTAGGGAGATCGGGGTATAGTTTGAGTCAGTACTTACAATTTACATTTATGCAGAAGCTAACAAATAAAATGAGTCATGCAGTTTTGGAAATCTAGGCGGCAGCATACATTGCACTCTGCAGTCTTCTGAGATGTGATGAAGTGTTTCAGGTTGACTTGGGGCTTTCCCCGCCCTCGTTGAGATCCCAGTGAGGTGTACTTGACCATCTCAAATGGGTATACTTTTATTTCTGGTTAGGAGTGTGTTGCAACCAGCCCAGAGCTCGAAGGCCCAATTCAAACCTGAAAATGCTCTATGACAGTTATCTTCACATATCTACAGCTGTTGGATATGGGGGAGCCCACAGAGGACAGATGGTGCTGTAACAGAAGTCAAAACCTTGCTACTTTGTCTTTCTAGGACATCCCTAAGGCCTCAGACCTTCTATGATGGCAGTCACTGCAGCGCCAGAGGGGTGTGCCATATCCCAATGGCTGAACCGTTTTGCCCCAAGACAAGAGAGGTTTGTAGTCTGTCTGACATCAGAATAGATTATAAGGTCTGGATCAGTTGACTGAGTAGGTATTGCTCTTCCTGTGTCAGTTTTAGTGTTGAAATGCAATGGTTTCACCGGGAGTCGTTTCCCATTGCTGATAAGACCTCCATTCTCAGTTATTTTAAACAGAAGAAGCATTTTACCTGCTGAGCCATCTCTTCAGCCTCAGAACTGTTTATGATGAAACTTGAATCTTGACTGTTTCTTTCATTTTGATTTGTTCTTTGTTTCGTTTTTTTCAAGACAGGGCTTCTCTGTATAGCTTTGGAGCCTGTTCCAGCACTTGCTCAGTAGACCAGGCTGGCCTTGAACTCACAGAGATCCACCTGCCTCTGCCTTCACAGTGCTGGAATTAAAAGTGTGCACCGCCCCCACCTGGCACTTTAATGTTTATTAAAAGGAAAGAAAAAAACCATGTATGCCTGGCCCTGAAGAAACAAGTAACGAATGCCCAGATAAATTGGTCTTGGGACAGAAAAAAATCAGGACAGCCAATACCATTTCACCATATGTCCTTAGAGAGACATCAAGCTAAAGAATAGTGACTTTTCTACAAGGCTTTTCAAAAGGCCACATAGTCTGTAACTGAACAGCCCTGCACCTTGGGAAGTGTCACTTGGCCAGCAGTTTGGTCTGTATGTGACAAATGATACCTCAGCTGAGCAAGTATGGTGGGTCAAGACACAAGTTCTTAAAAAGTGAGTGAAATTCAAGTACACAAATCTCTGTAAAAGCTATGAGCTGTGTGTACAGTGGACCTGGACTGCAGGAATGTGTCAGTACAGAGCTAGACACTATCTTTCAGTGATCTAGGTTTCCTCTAAGCATGCTGTAGTAAAAATGTGCTTTAGGTAGTTTGCTAAACATCACAGAAAAAATGAAATCTTGAACTTCATGTAGGTTTGTGTGTTTTGAGACTGGTTCCTCCTTTTGCAGGTCCTCATAGAAACAGCCAAGAAGCTTGGTCTTCGATGCCATTCCAAGGGGACAATAGTCACAATTGAGGGGCCTCGTTTCAGCTCTCGGGCAGAAAGCTTTGTATTCCGTACTTGGGGTGCAGATGTTATCAATATGACTACAGTTCCAGAGGTGGTGCTTGCCAAGGAGGCTGGGATTTGCTATGCAAGCATTGCCATGGCAACCGATTATGATTGTTGGAAGGAACATGAAGAAGCAGTAAGTGGGAATCTCCTGATTGTGTGTGGTGTGATGTGGGTTTCTAAATGCCATGATCTTTTAAGGGAATGTCCCATTGATTTTTCTTTGGATTCATCTTGGGAAGGGCCAGCATTTTTAAGTTTTCATTAGGCTTTATATGATATTTCCTGTAGCTCCTGTTGGAAGATAAGATCTTCCATGGATAGTGGAGAGGTGCTTATCTGAGAATCAATAATGATTTGATATTGTAAGCTTGTAGATGTGCTGAGAATCGTTGAGCCAACATTCTGTTTGAGGAAGACAGAGGTTATCCTAGTCGATGTTCTGTTGCTGTGAAGAGACAACCACCAAAGCAACTCTTACAAAAGAAAGCATTTATTTACTGGAGGGGGGGGGGGACTGCTTACATTTTTAGGGTTTTGTCCATTATCATCGTGGTAGAGAGAATTGCAGTATACAGGCACATAGGATGCTGGCAGATACATGCTGATCCCCATGCAACAGGAAGAGAGAGCCCCTGGCTTGCGCTTCTGAAATCCCAAAGCCACCCCTAGTAACACATTTCCTCTAACAAGGCCACACTTCGTAATCCCTCTCAAATTCCAATCCCTGATGACCAACCATTTAAATATATGAGTTTATGGGTGCCATTCTTATGCAGACTACTATGGAGGCTAAGCAGAAGGTTCAGAAGAAATACTGCTGAGTGTTATGAGTTACCTGGACCAAATATTTAAAATCTGTTATTTGGAAGTGTGATGATAAAGATGGGCAGGATTAAGAGACACACAGAGGAAGGAGAGGGCAGGATGAGATATGGCAGGACCATAGACTGATAAGGATTGGAGACAGTTCGGTTCAGGGGTACTAGACAAGGAGGGTGCATGGTGAAGCCTAGCTAGGACTTGAAGATCCTAGAACACTGAAGTTGGGCCTCCAAAGATAGCATGTTCATCATGGAAACCTTGAACTTCTGTGAAGCAATCACCTGGGTTCCACAGTTACCAACCATGGCCACATAGATTTTACCTACCCTTTCTTCCTTCCCCACTCTGTCCTGAAAGTAAACAGTTCCTAAAAGTCCTCTTAATTCAAAAGAAAAAACATAACTGTGCCACAATTTGTACAGAGAAATATTTTTTACTGAATCTCTAGACTATTGGCAATTTCTCTTAGATTTCATAATTTTTAGCAGTTTGATCAAGTCAAGATCTCTTATAAAGCCATGTTATATGTTAATGATAGGCCTGTAAAATCTCTCTCCTTTATTTGTATATCCTTTCCTCCATCCTGAGAATCTAGCCTAGGGCTTTGCATGTACTAAAGTGCTCTAGCACTGAGCCAAGCCCTTAATCTGCTTTCTTTATTTTGAGCCAGGGTTTCACTGAGTCTCCTATCCTGGCTTGAATTTGGCATTCCCCCTGCCTCCGCCTCCCAAGTAGTTGGGATTATAGGCTGGAGTCACCAAGCCTTGTCAGACTCTTTTATTTATAAGCTCCTCCCTTTTCTTAAAATTGTTTTGTTTCACCTGAGAAATGAGAGATCATTTGCCTGTCACTTGTCTCATTTTAAAATGGAGAAGGTAAAGAAAAATATGAGAGACTTTTGCAGAAGTGTAGAAGTTAGTGAGTACATCCTCTTTTAGAGGGCTGCTATCGCAGAGCTACTGTTTCCTCGTCTAGTTATACACAAAACAGCTTCACATGTCCTCCTCATCTTCTGCCCACGTGTACTTGTTAGGCGACATAAATGAATCCCAATTCTTTGGTGTTGTCGATGTGTATTTATAGGAGAGTTTTGAGGCTGACTGTATCTGGCTTGGCAGCTTTGTGAACTAACTACTCCCAGCTTCAGGATGTGAAGAAGCTGCTTTCAATTAATGGGAAGTGTTAGCTCCTGTCACTTCCTGACAGCAAATTGCTTCTTGCTGGAAATGTTCTGCTCAGTTTCAAGCTAGATGCCTCTGAGGTGATTATTATGCCAGATGGGGGCTAGAAAGCAGAGGACTACGTTCTGCATGTAGTAAGGCATAAAGAGAAGTTGTGCTGAGTGCCACAAGAAAGACACGAATAGACATGGCATCCACTCAAACAGCCATTGTGTCATTGTGCTTTAAACAGATGTGCAGCCTGACATGACAAGGTTCATCTCTGTTTCCTTGTGACTCTGGAGGGTGAGTGGGGGGGGGGTATGACTCTGACCTTGGAGGTTCACTGGGAAAATTATTTTTGTTTGTTTTGTTTTGTTTTCTTTAGTCACTGGTAACCAGAATATCTGACAGAACAACTTTTGGGAAGAAAGGTTTCAAGGTTTCAACTAGTTCATGTAGCTGGGAAGGCTGCCATAGCAGCTCCTAGGTCACACTCAGGAAACAAAGAGCTAGACTGAACAAGGAGGAGGCAGTACCTTTCCAAGGCTGCCATCCCAGTTACCTGCAACAACCCATCGAAGTCAACCTCCTAAAGCAGTGGTTCTCAGCCTGTGGGTCATGACCCCTTTGTGGGCTGGACTGCCCCTTCACCAGGGTTGCCTAAGACCATGAGAAAACACAGGTGATTACATAACAGTAGCAAAATTACAGCTATAAAGTAACAAGGAAAGTAGTTTTATGGTTGGGGGCCACCACAACCTGTGGAACTGTATCAAAGTGCCACAGCATTGGGAAAAAGAGATGACAACTCTACACATTGAGGAGGAGTGGGAATCCGGGACCTAGTGTAACCTTCAGAAGCCCAATCCACTAGCCTACTTTTTGTCATCTATAACCTGCCTCTTAAAGAATCCACGGTCTCCCGAAACATGAGCCTGTGCGTGGGAGGCATGCCAGTCAGACCCTAAGTGGTTTGGGAGAGCTGACTCATAGGAATGTTATCACCAACAACTCCTCGGAGTGTGCGAGCAAAGAGCAAAACCTTGGAGGTTTGAGCACCGCCTTTAAGAGGGAGGGTTAGGTGGTTGTGAGTCACAGGGTCAATAGGAAGGGCATTTGAATGGAACCCAACAACAGAAACGAAATTAAAGAGAGGTCAGAATCACATGAAAAGTATGTGGAAATGAATATAAAAGCAAATGGTTAAGTCTCTGGCAGCCATAACCCCTGCATTTATTGACTCAGCTTCATCTGCACCTTTTCATGTATGCCGGACACTGTGTAGCGGACCTTCCACTACATCTCACCACATCTTGGCATTTGTAAAGCCATCTGGATGAGGAGACACAAAGGTGTAGTCGCGTGTCTCTGGATCTTGGTTTTCTCACAAGTGGAGTAAAGTCGGACAAGGTTTCTAGGCCTGGTGATCAGCTTCCCCTTATGAACCAGTCATAATGTCAGCCCAGCCACTCTTTTCCATCATTGTGCCAGTTGACATGGCTCATACACATACCTGTGCACCTGCGTGCATGCACAGTTTCTGAGATCCAGAATTAGGGCCTAATTTATTCTGGGTTAGCATTCTACCACTGAGCTCTATCCATAGTCCTCAAAGTGATATTTTTTTTTTCTTGTAAGGAAACTAAGAGGTCAAGCATAGTTGGTATGTGTCTGAATAGCAACACCTGGCGGGCAAAAGCAGGAGAATTGTGAGTTTGAAACCAGCTTGAGCTACACAGTGAGGATCTGTCTAAAAAAATTAAAAGACCCACAGGATGGGGAACGGGGAAAAGGCAAAAGCCAAGGCCTTGTTCTATTGCATCTCCCACAGTCTGTATGGTACAAATTTCATCCTAACAGCATATGTCTCTGTCTGGGTTTAGTATTGAAGGAAAATTGAGCATCATGATGGTGTTTTGTGACAGGAAACACAGAACCAGTTGGAATCTTTTTCTGAAGTGGTTTGTCCTGGTTTGTGTCTTCCTTGGGGCTCTTGGGTTTTGTTAGGTTGGTGTTAATGGCCAGCCCATTAACCATGAGTCATAGAAATGATAGCATTTTGACTCTTTCTTATTTATTTATTTTTCCTTAAAAAAAAAAAAAAAAAAAAAAAAAAAAGTTCATTTAGAGTGCTTAGCTCCTGTGTGCTTATCCAAGATAGCAAGTTTTAGGCTGAAACTTACTTTCTACAGACCAGAAAGGGGGGTGGCTGTTGCTCCTGCTGCCAAGCCGCTGCCACTTGACATCTGTGATATTCTCTCAGGCTCTACAGAAACAGTATTGAGCTGCTCTAAGGTCTTTCCCCTGAGATGAAGAGTGGCGTTTGGGCTCAGGGGATGTAATTTGGAGTGAGCAGACTTTACAGCACAGGTCTGTTTTAGTCTGTTCAGGCAGGTGTAAGAAAATCCCATTAAAAATAGCTCCTAGACAGAAAGGGGGGGGTGCCTTGTTTTTATAGTTCTACGGGTTAATAACTCCGAGGTCAAGACTGAGCGGCTCTTCCTGGTGAGGACCCATTTTGTAGTCATATTCTCACTGAACCTCACATGATATATCTTAGTTGCTTTTAAATTGTTGTGATTAGAACCATAACCAAGACATAGAAGATTGGGTTCACTCGGGGTGAATCCCTGACCATCATGACAGGGAGTATGGGGGCAGGCAGGCAGGCATGGCACTGGAACGTACATCTTGGTCCACAAGAGTGAGGCAGAGAGAGCTACCCTGCCCCCAATGACACACCTCCTAATCTTTCCCAAACAGTTCCAGCAACTGGGGACCAAATATTCCAATATATGGGCCTATGGGGGGCCATTCTCATCCAAACCACAACAGTGGGAGTGGGGCTCGATGTGGTACAAGGCCCCATTCCTAAGAGCACTGACAGCCTGACCTAAAACACTTCCAAGTTCCCCTTCCTGAAACCCTCACAAAAAGGATTAGGTTCCTAAAGATAAAATTTGGAAGGAACAAAAGCATTCACACCGTGGCAAATCGGGGCTCAAGTTGTTCTGTGAGAAGCAGTTCATGCTAGTAAAGTCCTGTGTTCTTCCTGTAGGTGTCAGTGGATGGGGTTTTAAAGACCATGAAAGAAAATGCCAACAAAGCCAAAAGCTTACTCCTTACTACCATACCCCAAATAGGGTCGATGGAATGGTCAGAAACGCTCCGAAATCTGAAGGTAAGTGGCCTTCAACTTGAGAGCAGACATGACTGCTCTAACCATATTTTCTCTTGCTTTCACTTTAAATTTGGTCCAGCTCCCCATGTAGGTTATACGAGTCAGCATTTTTTGTTTCTGTTTCATTTTCAGCAAGCACTCCTGCTCTGATTACTATTCTTCTATTTGCAACTGAAAGTGCCTGACCCAGGAGGGAGTGGGGTTGGGGGGAGTTGTTATCTGGTGTCCCAGGTTCTTTACATTGTCATGGAGTTATCTTCATGTCTTGGATCAGAAGGCTGGTGCCTCCTGTGATTTTAACTATTTTCTCTTGGGTAGATTTGTACATAAATTTTACTCCCGTGAAGTGTTCTGTCACAGCTAAGATGCAAAAAGGACCTTGTGATTATTCTAACAGGTGGGGGAGGGGGAATTAAAAAATCTACCAGTTACAAGCTGGTGGTTTGAACTAAACAGTTTCTAGCAAACCAACATCTGAGCAGCCTGACTGAGTTCCTCTGGCAAGTTCTGAGTCAGTGTTGGACTCACACAATATGATCCAGTTTAGAACTTTGCCTTCTTCCTGCTGACCTGATACTCACTACGGTTTCACACTCAAAGTCAGTTCCTTAAAAAGAAACTAGTAGACTTTGGGAGTCCACTTCCCAAAGAGGGATACTCTCAGCCTAGGCCCTCCCCCAAATGATGTGATAGACTTTGATGATCCCCCATGGAAGGCCTCACCCTCCCTGGGGAGCAGAAAAGGGATGGGGGGGGTCGGTGGGGAGGATGGAAGGGAGAGGGAACTGGGATTAATATGTAAAATAAGATTGTTTCTGATTTAAGTAAAATATATATATATATATATATATATATATATATATATATATATCCATAAAAAGAAAGAAATCTGTGACATACTCAGTATAAATCAGTGATCTTTTTGAAGCTGATGTTGTGTGGATTTGTAAATACGCACTTTAACATGGGTTAGTAAGTATAGCATTCATCAGGTGTAAAATGAGAATTGAAGAAATGAATATCTTTTAGAGAAAATTGAGTGCTGTGGTCTCTATTCTGAAGTAGTAAGGAACCCGGTACTAGTAATTCTTACCCTGAATCGTGTTTAGCATTCGTTAAATCACTAGTTCATTTCAGAAACACCAGTTTACCTATTTTGTGCCAAACTCCGGATTAGAACAAAACCCAGCTGTAGGGTGTGGCAATAAGTATTTGCCTTTAATGCCAGCACTTGAGAGGCAGGGGCAGGCAAATCTCTGTGAGTTCAGGGCCAGCCTGGTCTACATAGTGGGTTTCAGACCAGCCAGAGAGACAGTGAAATCCTATCTTCAAAACAAACAAACAAAATTTAGGACAATACCCAAAGAGGACTCCCAGTGATGATGAGTTTCCATCCCATCGTGTTGTCAATTGACACACATTAAAACTTCAGTGACATAAGGATTAGGGGTTGCACGAATGATAATTGAAGCTGGGAGAGGGTAAATGCAGTGTGTCCTGATGGCTGTGAAGGGGGGAGGGGACATTTGTGAGTCTAAGAGCAGTCCCCTGAGATGAGGCACTGACCTCACTTGTCAGGAAGAAAAGGAAAAAAACGAGAATTAAAAATTGCACCTAAAGTCCCATATCTGGTTAGTGTTGTTGCTGTTTTGTTTTAACTACATTTTTTGAAAATTTGTTTATGTGTGTATGTAGACATACATACGCATGCTGTGGTGAACATGTGGAAGTTCGAGGATAGCTTGTAGGAGTTAATTCTCTTTCCACCATGTGTGTCCCAGGGATTGAACTCAAGCAATCAGGCTTAGTGGCAAGTACCTTTACCTTGAGCCATTTTGCCCACCCTAAATAGTGTTTTTTAAATGTTGGTGAACATGGGAATTATCTGGAGATTTAATAAGTATGTGTCCCCATGAGTCCTTACTATACTCCACAAAATCTCGGGGTTGTTGTTTTGTTTTCCATTTGTCAGGAAGTGTAGGAGTAGTTAGCGTGCTCTCTGCTGCCTTAGTCATCATCTCTACTTACTGTCTTCCTTTCAGAATATGGCCCAGTGTTCTGTTTTACCACCAAGACATTAACACAGCATGGCTGCCACAAGGAGACTTATGACTTCTAGTCTTTGGGGGACTTTTGCTTAAACAAAAAATGGGAAAGTTATGCGGCCTTCGTGCCTTTGCCTGGAAAGAGCATGTGGTAAGAGAGAGATGGTGCACTCCACCAGGATACCAACTCCTCCAGAACCTGGAAGGAAAGCAGTACCTGCAGGAATGTAAGCCCAAAACCTTGTCAATCATTTCTCCTATTTAACTGACAACAAAGGCTGGTGAGAACATCTCTTCCCCTACACTGCTAACGAATGGGACTGTGTGCTTTGTATATTGGCGCTGTCTTTCCGGAAGGCAATTTGATACAATGCATCTGAGGCTGAAAATTACTGGATGCACTTTGGTACGCTAGGAATTTCTCATTAGGAAGTTCATTCGAAAAATCACGTGTAATCTCAAAAAAAAAAGTTAGATAGATGTAATCAATCAAGTGGGAATCAAGGTCACTTCATGCTATAAAATGAAGGGGAAAGGGTATAAGCATTTATGATGCTGGTTTTTTGTTTTAAATGGTGTGCAAATGTACAAAAAAAAGACTAGAAGGGAATATACATAATCCTATTAACTATTTGTGAAGAGATGCTGGATAATTCTTACTTTTCATCTTTTCTCTACTTTTTTTAAAAAAGTAAGTATAATCAAATAATAAAGGTGTAAAATTAAAGTGGACTTAGAGAATTCAAGTTCTTGAAAACACCAGTTGGTGAAACAAAGATGGCAATATAAAAGAATCTGTGTGTGATTCGGGATGTGGAAGCCAAATTGCACACTCCCACATGCATGCACTCCACAGCAACAACAGCAAACAATGCACTGTCTGAGAAACTTGTATCTTTGCTTAAAAAAAGATCCTGGGTCACCATACATTACAGCTACTTGGGACTGTAACGAGGAGGCCATTGTTCAATGCTAAGGTGTGTCAAAGTCAGACTGCTTCAAGGATGATTAGTGTGATTCATTATCATATATCAGATATTTTTTAAACTACCATTTGTTTCTACTCCTTTTTAAGAGTTGACACATTATCAGTTGGCAATGTTTTATTTTGCGGAGGGGGGCAGGGGAAGGAAGGGAGGAAGAACCCCAGAAACCTAGCATTTTGTTATAGAATGCTTTTTGTTGTCTGCCATGGGCAGTCGTAGTGTTTTCCTCCAGTTACTGGGGTTCTTGTAAAGAGTGTGTGAGGTGAGTGTGCTCATGTCTGAGGTTGACTTCAAGAAAGTAAGCTTCTGATTGTAAGCAGTTGCTGATTCCATGCTGAGCCCATGGGTAACTAGTTGGTGGTTATAACTTCTGGCCATAGAGCTCTGGTTATTAGCGATCTACGGAGACTACACTGGTCCTGACCAGGGCTCTTGGTTGTTTTTGCTTCACTGCAGTGTGGACAGTACTTCACTCTTAGGAGTCGTCTGCTAGTGTCAAGCTGGGGAGTGGGCACTTGTCTTATTGCCTTTAGAAAATGCAGTTCTCTACAATGTGGAAAAGTAATTTTCTTCAGTGGCCTTTTCTAGTTAGAATTGTCATATGCAGGCATCTTTTCTTTTTCCTTGTGATAAAAATTGCATATAATCTCTTATAAGATATACCTTCTTAGCTATTTTAAGTGACATTTAAAATATATTTATACTGTTTTTTCTTTAGTGTGTGTTCACTACAAAACAATGGGTATTCTGTCATTTTCTTATCCATGTGTACATCATCATTTATCCCACATGATTTTTTTCTTATGCTCCCCTACCTCCTTCCTTCTCCCAAATAATGCTCCTTCTACTTTAAAGTCATCTATCTATATTCTGTATATGAGAGAAATGTGCCTTTCTAAGTCTGGACTACTTAATATGACCCTCTCCAGCTCCATACATTTTCCTACAGGTTACATAATTCCACTCCTTTTTTCTGACTAAATAAAATCCCACTGAGAAGACATACCAAATCTTCTCATTTTGGCTTTTCTGAATAGCGTTTCAATAAACACGTGTTTCTCAAGACTTCTCAAATGACCAAAGTATGCTCCTGGTCTTGGGTTGGGTCTTGGCTATTGCTGCTAGTATAGAAACTCCACTTTGAGAACTGCTATCTGAACCATTTCTGTCAGATTGTCCTTTAGACAAATTCCAGACCTTGGACCTAGTCCATTGTGCTTTTATTTCAACTGTTCCTCGCTCTTCATTAGGTCATTTCTACACACAACTGCATCTATAGTGAAGAAGTAGAAAGTGATGGATGCTGGGCTCAGCTCACTTTATCATTTTTATAAAGTCCAGAATGCTAACAGGGCCGGTGCCACCCAAAGTGGGTGGGTCTTCCCACTCCAGTAATCCCAGTCAATAGTCTTTAACAGGCATGCCCAAAGTACATCTCCTAGGCGACTCTAGATTTCTAATCATTTGACAACCAACATTAAACATAACAGCTATACCTGATCTCTATTCTTTAGCTCAATTCAGTTATGATTTTGACACCATCCCACCTCTGGTACCACCTTCTTCCCCTTAATCTAATCAACTCACTGACAGCTCAGCCTCTGCAGTTTGTTCTCTTGTCACACTGTTATAATGTCCTGTTCCATTGTCCACTGGTGTGGTTGTATTAACTTTTGTGTCTACAGATTCTTGACATAGTGACTAACACAGAAGAGGTACTGTTTGTACTTCTTAAAAAATTGTGTGAGGGGGCTGGAGAGATGGCTCAGGGGTTAAGAGCATCGGCTGCTCTTCCAGAGGTCCTGAGTTCAATTCCCAGCAACCAGGTGGTGGCTCACCACCATCTGTAATGAGGTCTGGTGCCCTCTTCTGTTATGCAGTTGTACGTGCAGACAGAACACTGTGTACATAATAAATAAATAAATTTTAAAAAATTGTGTGAGTCTATGAAATTTCAGCCATCTTTTCATTCCCAGCTGGAATCACTGGTTCCATAGAACCTTATTAGCTGCACTAGAGTAAATAGTCCATCCTGTGTATTTTCAGACCACCTAAAGTCTGTGTTACCCACAGACCATTTGTCATAATGTTCAACATAAAGCTATGTACATATTCTGTCTCCTAAATAGGTAATGAAAAATGGGGAAAATGGATCCTGAAAAAGAAAACGGTTTAAGTGTTAGGTAATAAAAACCCAATGAGTTATTTTCTTTCCTGATTTGGTTTACTACTTAGTAATATTTTCCTGTAAATGAATTCCAGTAAATGAATTTCCAGTCAATGAATGAAACACTTATTTTTAAAATATGAGTATTTAAAATTGTTCTTAATCCTTTGGTTATATGTTTTAATCATTATTTTTAAAAGAGAAAAACTACTTCTTGAAGGCCTTATTTGCCTTGTTTCCCCATAGTTGACCACCAGAATGGTGGGTGGGTATGTGGGAGGGGGTGGGCAAGTGTGCACATACCACAGCAAGTGTGTAGAAGTCAGAGAACAACTGTCAGTTCTATCATGTGGATTCTGGGGATCAGACTCAGGTGGTCAGACATGGCAAACAAGTGTCTCACTGGCCCTTCACATGTATGTTAAACTTCATTTAATTATCTGTCCTTATGATACAGAGAAAATCTCTGTCTTCAATTTATCACCATATGTTATTCACAGACCTCACTCCTGTCATTTTTTACTTATGAGCCAGCTCTTAGGTAATTACTCAAGAAAGACTCTTTGTTTATGGAATGTTTTGTTTGGTTTCCTTTGGTCATTAATCTAAGGAAGGAAAGGCAAACTGAAATACGCAAGTGCTATCAAAAGCTGTCCTGTGCAGTATACATTGAGTATTAAACCCTTTTTTTTTTTCTACTGCTTTTACATATTTGAAGGCAGTAAATGAATAGGAACCATTACTATAGGTAAGAGATTCTCAGTGTGATAGCCTACCAATCCCCACTCTGGAAAGCTCTGCCGGAAAGAAACCATATATAAGCTCACGCTCCCGTTTTTCCCCTCCCAGTACCTTTTGTGTGAGGTTTCTTGTGCAGTGTGATTTTTGTGTTATTCCTTGGTTCCTGATTGCCAACATAACTTTCTGTCTGAGCTGTAAGGCTTAAAAGCCTACCTCTGCCTCCCTAGTGCTGGGATTAAAAGCCTGCTCCACCACAGCCATCTTAAATTCCTTATAGTTTAGGAATCATCTGTGGTAGTATGTTTCCATGTAACTTTTTCCTCCTCTTATGCCTCACACCAACATCACAGACTATTGCCAATGCTTTTCGTTGCCCTTCAGAACTTTATGGTTATATTTTATTGCTAAAGACACTACATCCTTGAGTCATAAATGCAGAAATGAATCTGGTACTCACTCTCCTAGAAGCTACATCCCTAATGGCTACCTTTCAAAGTTCCATATGGGCTGTGCACACTACCAGAAGAGAAAAGTAATCAATCTTATGACACAATGAACCCTGCCGGGCAAGATATGGCCACGGATGCAATAGTGGCACAACCATGACAGGCACACCCCACACTGACTGGATTTACTGCCTACTCCACAAGACAAAACCATACCCTGGTATGTTACCTGGATGTGGTTTTGTGGATAGTCAATTTCTAGTTCCCAAAGGCAAAGTTACTATTACTTTGTTTAATGAACACACTATTAGTTCTCTCCCAGCCCTTATCAGAGAAGGGCTTCTTGCAGTAGGTGGCAGTAAACAGACAGTGGATCAAGGAGCAGAGAATAAGACCGGAGTGCTCAGCTCATAAATGGGATATCTATGTCACACACACACACCCCAGTTCTCAGAATATGGTATTTTCAGCAACCTGCATCTGTATTTCTGGACTGTGTTTATTTGTATTTGGCTGCAGAGTAAAATATGTCATGTTCCTTTCTATATAATAGAGTTGGGAATATTGAGATAATCTGTTTTACTGATCAAAGGAAGAGATTGTTAGCTGAGATTCCTGTGCTCAGCTAATCTGTCTCCTGGAAATTAAAGATATTCTCAGATAAAAACAGAAATTGTATTGCTTCCAGAGCCTCCTTGTAAGGCATTCTAAAATATCATTCAGGTTGAAAGTCGGTGACCCAGAAAGTAATTTTCTCTTACCCTCCACTAAAGAACACAGATGAAGATAATCATGTAATTATAAACCAGCATAAAATGCAGCCAATTTAAAATGAACAGCAGGAAAAATATGGTATATTCTTGGACCTATGCCATGTACACATGTCGTGTATTTGCTGGTAACATAAGGAAACTGGGCAGGAATAAAGTTCTCTGCGCTAAGGAAATTAATGCTCCTGATGCTAACCCATATCCTTAAGAACAAATGGAGACCACAGAAATGAGAAACACAAAGTTAATACAACAAAAAAGTATAAATGTAAACGTCCTCTCCTCACAGCCAGCTTGA